TTCAGAACCCCCTTCCCCTCCCCCTTTTCTGATGAAGGGTCTAGGCCTGAAACGTCAGCCTCTCTGCTCCTATGATGCTGCTTGGCCTGCTGTGTTCATCCAGCCCTGCACCTTGTTGTCTCACAATCTGTAACCTCATGGCTTGGCATATGCCCCACTCAATCATTACCATCAAGCCAGGGGATCAACCTTCGTTCAATGCGGAGTGGAGGAGGGCATGCCAGGAGCAGCACCAGACATACCTAAAGATGAGGTATCAACCTGGTGAAGCCACCAAACAGGATTACTTGCACACCAAACAGTGAAAGCAGCAAGTGATAAACAGAGCTAAGTGATCCCACAACCAACAGATCATATCTAATCTCTGCAGTCCTGCCACACCCAGTCGTGAATGGTGATGAACAATTAAACAACTCACTGGAGGAGGAGGCTCCACAAATATCCCCGTCCTCAATGATGGAAGAGCCCAGCACATCAGTGTAAAAGATAAGGCTGAAGCTTTCGCAGCAATCTTCAGCCAGAAGTGCCGAGTGGATGATCCATTTTGGCCTCCTCCTGTGGTCCCCAGCATTACAGGTACCAGTCTTCAGCCGATTCAATTCACTCCATGTGATATCAAGAAACGGCTGGAGACACTAGATACTGCAAAGGCTACCAGCCCTGACAACATTCTGGCAATAGTACTGAAGACTTGTGCTCCAGAACTTGCCGCTCCCCTAGTCAAGCCGCTCCAGTCCAGTTACAACACTGGCATCTACTCAACAATGTGGAAAATTGCCCAAATATGTCCTGTACATTAAAAGCAGGACAGATCCAACCTGGCCATTTACCGCCCCATCAGTCTCCTCTTGATCATCAGTAAATTGATGGAAGGTGTCATCAACAGTGCTATCAAACAGCATGTTCTCAGCAATAACCTGCTGAGTGACGCCCAGTTTGGGTTCCACCAGCGCCATTAACCACTGATTTAATTACAGCCTTGGTTCAAACATGGACAAAAGAGCTGAATTCCAGAGGTAAGGTGAGAGTGACAGCCCTTGATATCAAGGCTGCATTCGACCGAGTGTGGCGTCAAGGAGCCCTAGCAAAACTGGAATCAATGGGTATCGGGGGCAAACGCTCCGGTGGTTGGAGTCATACCTGACACATAGGAAGATGGTTGTGGTTGTGGGATGTTAATCATCTCAGCTCCAGGACATCTCTGCAGGAGTTCCTCAGGGTAGTGCCCTAGGCCCAACAATCTTAGCTGCTTCATCAATGACCTTCCCTCTGTCGTAAGGTCAGAAGTGGGAATGCTTGCCAATGATTGCACAATGTTCAGCACCATTCATGACTCCTCAGATACTGAAGCAGTCCGTATTCAAATGCAACAAGATCTGGACAATATCCAGGCTTGGGCTGACAAGTGACAAATGACATTCGCGCCACACAAATGCCAGGCTATGACCATCACCAATAAGAGACAATCTAACCACCGCCCCTTGACATTCAATGGTGTTACCATCACTGAATCCCCCACTATCAACATTCTGGGTGTTATCATTAACCAGAAACTCAACTGGACCACATAAACACAGTGGATATAAGAGCAGGCCAGAAGTTAGGAATACTGTGGCAAATAACTCACTTCCTGACTCCTCAAAGTCTGTCCACCATCTACAAGGTACAAGTCAGGAGTGTGATGGAATACTCCCCACTTGCCTGGATGAGTGCAGCCCCAACAACACTCAAGAAGTTTGGCACCATCCAGGACAAAGCAGCCCACTTGATTGGCACTCCATCCACAAACATTCACTCCCTCCACCACCGAGGTTCAGTAGTAGCAGTGTGTACTATCTACAAGATGCACTGCAGAAATTCACTAAAGATCCTCAGACAGCACCTTCCAAACCCACAACCACTTCCATCAAGAAGGACAAGGGCAGCAGATATGTGGGAACACCGCCACCTCCAAGTTCCCCTCCAAGTCACTCACCATCTCGACTTGGAAATATATCACCGTTCCTTCACTACTGCTGGGTCAAAATCCTGGAATTCCCCCCCATTAGCATTGTGGGTCAACCCACAGCAGGTGGACTGTAGCAGTTCAAGAGGGAAGCTCACCAACACCTTCTCAAGGGCAACTAGGGATGGGCAAGAAATGTTGGCCAGCCAGCGATGCCCACAACAAACAAATGAATGGAAAAAAAAATGGCCTACTGCCTGGATTACAGTTGAGGTGCTTGAGTGGACATTTGAAACCCATTAAGAACCTCATTCTGCCATTATTGGTATTCAACCAGAGGTAGATGGGGTGTTACTATGTGGGAGGCCCTGTTTGCAGGATTCTGGATTTCAGTGGAAGAAGTAGGTGGAGTCTCTTATTCAAAGGCATTCAGTGTCTGATGGAGGAACCTGGCACTGAGTTCCATCCTCTCACCCAGTTTCACACACAATGCTAGCCAATGATTCCAATGCTATATACTGCGCATTTTCCCCTCACTAATCTGTGACTGGGTTGACTTAGCTTCCTTGGCAAACCTCAACCTAGTGTTGGTGCAGTACCATTAGCAGCATAATCCTTCAGCTGACAACTTTAAAAGGCACTTAGTTCTGGTAGGCCCACCCCAAAGCAGGTCATGCAGGCTCTCACCAGTTCTCCAGATGGTGGGCAAATACCCCATCAGCAATATTGAATTCCACGACTTGGATTTTTGGAATGTAAAACTCTTCTGTCAACTACTGGAACAGATGGAAGGAGCTTTCCTGTCCAAACTGCTTACAATATTCCAAATGTCATCTGACCAGGGCCTTATACAGCCTCAGCAGTACATCCCTGCTCTTGTATTCTAGTTCTCTTGAAATGAACGCAAACATTGCATTTGCCTTTTTAACTGTCAACTAAAGCTGCGTGTTAATCTTAAGAGAATCTTGAAATAGGACTCCCAAGTTCCTTTGCACTTCAGATTTCCTAAATCTTGTTTTATCTCAGGAAGATAAACCCAGATTAAAGGATTTATTGTATTAGTTTTCACCAATTTGTCATAAACAGGTAGTACTGCAATTAAAACCTCTCCTGACTGCACCTGACCAAACCTGCATCATATAATAATACCTTAACCCTGGCCAAGCGTTGAGTATGACTATACATCACTATGCTATATCTACTGGTCTGTCCCGCTAATGAGATAATACACACCCAGGGGTGGTGATGTTGTTACCTCCAACTTTGTATGTAAGGTGTGGTTCTGTAAGTATGACTAAATTTTCAAATGGAGTTAGATACAGTTCTTTGCACTAAAGTTATCGAAGGCTATCAGGAGAAAGCGAGAACAGGAAATTGTGTTAGATGTTCAGTCATGATCATATTGAATGGTCTATTCCTGCTCTTGTTTTCTACATTTCTATGTCAGGTTGTTCCTTGAGTACTCTGCAACACAGCTTTCCTAATTCTGACATCAGATCTCAGATGTCAATGAAGAGGATTTAGCAGGATCAGTGGAGCCAAGTTTGTTGTTGTCATTTCCAGTAACAAGTTCGATGCAGGTGGTCCATTCACTTCCATTCCCTTTTTTCAGGCTTTTTTAGTGGTTTTATATAATTAAGCGGCATGCTAGACCATTTCAGAGAGCAGGTAAGAGTTAATCACATTGTGAGGCTGGAGTCACATGAAGGCCAGACCAGGTAAGGATGGCAGTTCTCTAAATGACATTAGTGAACCAGATGGACTTTTATGACAATTGACCATGGACTCATGGTCATTATTAGATGTTTAATTCCAGGTTGTTTGTTTTTCATTTGAATTCTACCTCTTGCATTCAAATCCCACTCCCTAGAATATTACTGGGGTCTCTGCATTATTAGTCCAGCAAGAATACCACTATGTCACTGTGTCTCCTAATTTGAGAAGAAAGATGTTTCAGTTTATTTTTACCTTCTGTTTTATCATCTTACAGAACGAGTAATAATTACTTGGGCTAATGCTATAAATTAATTAAACCAGGTATAGTTTGCACACTACACAGATGCACTTCTTATAATCTCTACAAAATACTGAATCTCTGCTTGAAATTTCATCGCAGTCTATTTCCAACACTTAGGTTACTCTCTGAGCTCTATCTCAGTTCCTGGGGATGTGTGGTATGTTGCTGGGCAACCTCGATATAATCATACCGGACAAGTTATTATTTATACTTCAAAGGGAAAGAAAACAAGCATTGTGCAGACTCTTAAAGGAGAACAGGTATTTCACTAAATAGTTGTGTCGCCATTATGCTCAGCGCTATGACTTTGAAAGTTATGATAGGATTTCTGTATCATGTTAAACATATGACTTGAATTGTCTCCTGATTATGCTTAAATCAGATATTATGATGTAGAATAAAAAAGAATGTATGGGATTCCATGGTTTCTATTAATTATCTAGCTTTAAAATGTCTTTCCCAAATCAGTTCAGAACAGGAGATTATCATGTAATAACCTAATATTGTTTATGACCTAAAAGTAAAATGTCACATTGCTTTATGCTGAGAGATCACTTAGGAATTCAAAGCTGTTTGTACATTATTGACATGATAATCAGTAAAAGCTGAATGTCACTTTGAGGTACAGGAAGTGGAGCACTTAGAACCATATACAGATGTTTCCGATTAAAAATGGATTACGGCATTGGTTCTGTGGTCTGGAAACTCTAAGTACAGTTTTATAGCTGAATTTCAGATTTATTAAATTGCCTTCTTCAAATCGCTAAGATTCTTCACTTAACTTATTAAAAAATGTTGAAATTCAGACAAACATATGCATGTTCATTCCATATTCTTAGTTATTTTGAGAATTTTATAATGACCTTTTTCTTTAACCACAGTGGTCTTTGTGCTCATGATGCTGCCAAATGGATATTACTTTGGGGGTTGCAGGATATGAAGGAACAGTGAGCTATGTGCTTATCAGCATTGTGTGTGGTTTGAAGGAAAACCTGTATCTGATGATATTCTCACATTGGCTTCAGCTAATATTAGAGTGTTATGCATATATCACAATAAAACAAGCCAAAATTTACTCCTATATTTTGGTGTTTTCTGTCATGGAACCTGTAGCTTACGTGTGTAGAGTATCAATAAATCATGAAATTGTCAGGTATTATGTTTTCTAAACTCATGCTTATCTTAAAGGGGAGGTAGGACAGGCCTGTTGACCACAGCTGGGCCTATCATATTACCAACTAACTGAGAGTTTCATCCATGTCACGGTGACGCTACAAGTTGCACACCTTTGTTAAAAATGTGCGGCCCTTTCTAAAAAAGCAAAATGCTACGAATACTGGAAACTGAAGCACGAACAAAATACTCTGGAAAAAGCTCAGCAAATCAGGGAGGCAATCTTTGGAGGGAAACTGATGCTTCAGGTCAATGACATTTGATCAGACTGAAGAATCTGCAAATATGACCCCAGCTTCCAGTTGCTTGTCATTTAATTCTCTATCTCTCTTCCACGCTGAAGTTAATGCTCTTGGCATGTCACTGTATTCCAACGAAGCAACACCTTAACTGCTGATTTGGCACTTTATAGCCTTCTGGATTCAATATTGAGTTCAACAACTTTACATCATAACATCTGCCTCAATCTTGTTTTATGTGTCTTATTTAGCTGAGTTGATCCTCATCCTGTTTCTTTCTCTGTCCATTTATGTTGCATTCAAATGTTTTTTATGTTGCAATCCATGCCTTATTTTGACTTAATCTTTGTTCCTTTGTCGTTCTCTTCAGCTGTTCCATCATGAACATTTTGTTATTTAATTTACCCTTGTCTCCACCCTCACACAGACCTTCTGTCTTATTCTCCTGTTGCCTCCCTCCATCAACTGGCTTAAAAATTGTGACATTTGTGTCTTTCTTTGATTCTGATGAGAGGGTCTTGACCTGAAGAATTAACTCTGTTTCTCTTCTTAGCTGCTGCTTGACTTACTCAGGTTTCCCAGTACATTTTGTTCTTGAAATTCGCAATAATAAGTTATGGTCAGGAGCTATGTCACGAGTTGTAATCCCAGGCTGAGGGCGAATGTTTAATAATTTGTTATCATTTTTATACCTGTACTGAATTCCCAACCCCGTAATCTCTCGGTCACAAGGGCCATCCATCTCCGCCTCCATAACATCACCGCCTCTACCTTAATCGATCTGCTAATGGTGCCTTCAAATGCATCTTTATTTCCTCAAGACTTAACAATTGCTCTCCTCCCCTGGCCAACCTTTCATTCACCATCCATGTGAATTCAAGCTTATCTCCTAAGCAATTCTTTTCAATCTTAAAACTCCATAATCCATCACCTCCTGATCCAATCTGATAAGGAATTTCAAACTTCAACACCTCATTTTTATGATTCTCGTTCTTGTATTTAAATCCTTCCACACCATCACCTCATTTATCTCTGTTACCTCCTCTGGCCATACCCCTTTAAACTCTATATTTTCTGCAATTTTCCTTCTCTTTATCCCTGCCATCAGGATTGTGTCTTTAACTATTTAACTCCACACTCTGGAATTCTTTCCCTAAAACCTTCTGCCTTCCCAACTCCCTCTGCTTCTGTCAGGGCAAACACCTTTAAAGCATTAAAACAAACATCTTTGAACAATTCATTGGTCTTATTCCTAACTCTTTAATTAGCATCCTGTTTTTCCGACACCTTTACGAAGCTAGTTGGTGTTTTCTTTTTTGATTTTCAAGATGATATGTAATCACATATCATCTTATTATTGCAGTTGTTTGGCTTCCACTTCTGGTTTCAATACATAGTACAGTGAATTAACTATACTTTTTCGACCTCAAGGCCCCAAAGTCACTGCAGTATAGCAAAAGAATAAATGATATATCAGCTGTGTTTCTGGATGATGACAGAGGCAACAACTTGTTCTGTTTGTTTGACATGAATGCCATTCCTGTTTTTCAGATTGGTTCATATTTTGGCAGCACTGTGTGTGCCATTGACATCGATGAAGATTCGTTAACTGATATTCTTCTTGTTGGAGCTCCTATGTACATGGGAACTGAGAAAGAAGAGCAAGGAAGAGTTTATGTTTACAATCTGAAAGAGGTGATAAATTTAAATATTCTCCTCAGTTATAAAGTAAACACAGAATTACTTATATGTCATAAAATCACACCCAATGCTAAATATCCAGTCATTCTAGTTTCATATTGCAAAACCATTCAATAATATCCCTGTCCAATGAATCATTTAACCATATTATTCTCAGCACTGGCCAAGGATCATAATGTCACTCTTGGAGTAATTTCTTCGGGAATTGTAAAAGCAAAGCAGCAAGTCTAAGACTGTCAAAATATCTATCTGTAATATTTTCCTATCAACCCCGTGCGCATTAACTTACATTGGCTCCTGGTTAAGCAACACATTGATTTTAAACTTCTCTTCATTGTTTTCACATCCTTCCATGGCCTCACCTTCCCCATCTTTATAATTTCCTCCAGCCCCATAATCTTTCAAAGATACAGGCTCATTGAATTTTGGACTTTTACCTCTGATTTAAAGTGTGTTAACCATCAGTGGCCTTCACTTCCCTTCTGCAATGCCTTCCCCACAAGTCTCAGTCTCACTATCTCACTTTCCTCCTTCAAGAAACGTTTTAAAAACAAAGAATTTGATCAACTATCTACTCAGGAAGATTGTGAAGTGCCATGGAAGTTTTCATTACATTAAAGGTGGTATATAAATATGTTATTATTTGCAATATTCATTAAATAAATGAAATTTCTCAGTTTGTGTCATCACATGCAACTTTAAACAAAATCTTCATTTTTTGGACAAAATCACAAACATAGCAAAATACAAGTAATTCTTGTTTTGAAGGGCGCTACTTCATATAATCTTTATCATGCAAAAAGAAATGCAGGATTTATGCAATCCACAGAAAAGAAAAGACTCACTGTGCAGCAGATAGTGAGAGAAAGCCCTGTGGCATAAGTACACATTCTGCCCAAGGGAACTAGGAATAAAGTTCCCTACATCTTCTATCTCCTTACTATTTACATACTGTGAAACAGTAATACACTGTTGAAACAGAGTTGGCATTGAACTGATGTTGAACTCAAGACTTGATTTATGTCTGGAATTTTTAAAAACAGAGCACAACTCTAGCACAAAGGGCTGAATTTTGCTTTCTCCATGAGGGGTGAAGTTCCACTGCCAGGAACAAAAGTGGGAGCCAATCCCACTTGTGGAGTGAGAGCATGTCACTAACAGTGAATAATTTCTAAGATGCCGCTGGACCACCCTTTCAATTGAGGAATGCGGCCTGCCTGTAAGAGTTTCTGGCTCAATTAGTTAGTAGGCAGTTCAGCACCACCAGTGCTAGCAGCAAGCTGAGGCTCCTGCACCAGGATGTGTGTGCCTCAATGGTGGGGCACCCTCAAAGACATGTAACTGTTTCTGGGGAAGACAGGGTCAAGCAGATGAGGCAAGCGCCTGGTGGTGTATTCACTAAATCGCTCTGCTAATACTCTGGGGTTCATTGTGATACACCCGGAAACTGGAGGAACAGCACCTCATATTCCGCCTCGGGAGCCTACGACCCAATGGCCTAAATATGGACTTTACCAGTTTTAAAATCTCTCCACCCCCAGCCTCATCCCATGACCAAACCTCCCTCTCATCCCCACCTCCTTGACCTGACACAACTTGTCCATCTTCTCTCCCACCTATCTGCTCCTCCCACCTCACTGACCAATCCCCACTACTGCCTTCCTGCACTCACCTATCACTATCCCACCTACCTTCCTCAGCCCCAACCCTCCTCTCTATTTATTTCTGAGCTCCCTTCCCCCTCCCCCAATTCTGAAAAAGGGTCCCAACCTGAAACGTCAGCTTTCCTGCTCCCCTGATGCTTCCTGGCCTGCTGTGTTCCTCCAGCTCCACACTGTGTTATCTCATGACTAGCTTAAATAGCTGGCGTTTAAATGGCTTTGCCACCGAGGTTACTGCTACTGGTAATATGCCAATGCAGGGCAGTGAGGGCTGCTGGGGTTGTGATAGCCTAATGCCAACCCTCCCACCTTCAGCCCATTGTGTAAGATATGACTTTTAAAAACAGAAGTATTTGCTCACTTCTTTCCCTTGTGGTACAGAGGTATGAGGCAATAACCTTACAAATTAATTTTTAATAGCAGCACAGGCATTATAACGTCTTAAAGCATAGTCCCATGCACCTGACTCCTAGCTTCTCCACATAATGCTTTGTCCTTGGTAAACTGCAAGAATTTGTTACTTGCTCAGACACATTTTTACAAATTCAAGCTGCATTGAAGCATACATCTGAATCTTTATTTCTTTCTTTATTTTAGAATGAGTTTCGATATGAAATGATCCTTGAGCCATTAAAGCAGAAGTGTGGTTGTCATTCTGCCTCAGGTCTCCATGCAGGGAAATTCAATGAGGTAAGTAAAAAATAAAATATGTTCTGTTGAAAATCTCCTGCTCCCAAAGGACACTGGCTAAACATCAGACCTCGCAACGAGTCTAGCTATTTTTCTGCTGTTCCTGGTGATTGCCTTAAAATAGGCGTTAGGCCGCTTACAAATGTAAACAGGGGGCTAATACTTCATTTCACTCCACAGATGCTGCCAGATCTGCTGAACTTTTCCAGCAATTTCTGTTTTTGTTTCTGATTTGCAGCATCCACAGTTCTTTTGATTTTTTTTTGGCTCATACTTGTTTTGGGAACCCTTGCCAAGACTGACATGAAATGAGCAGCACAGGACTTGCTCAGGGCTGTTTAGTAGTCACTGTGGCCAAAGAGGCAACAGCAATTCAGGTTGATAAATGACAAGTAACATTCAGGTCATACGGTACAAGTCAATGATAAACTCTAACAAGAGTCTAACCATCTATTCTTGTAAAGGCTTACTATCACTGTAGCCCCTACTATTACATTCCTGGTGGTTACTGTTGATAAGAAACTGAAGTGGACCAGCTATATAAATGCTATGGCTACAAGAGCCTATTGATATTACCACTGGATTGTTAATCCGGAGACCCAGAAAATGTTCTGGGGACACTGGTTCGAATCTTGCCATGGCAGATGGTGGAAAATGAATTCAATAAAAAAATCTGGAGTCAAAGATCTAATGATGTTCGTGAATCCATTGCCGATTGTTGGAAAAATCCATCTGGTTCGCTGATGTTCTTTTGGGGAAGGAAACTGCCATCCTTATCTGGTCTGGCCTATATGTGACTCCAGACCCGCAGTAATGTGGTTGGCTCTTAGCTGCCCTCTGGGCAATGCCCTCAGCCCATGAATAAATACAAAAAGGAGCAAGTCAGAGGCTGGAAATTCTGAGGAGTGTAATTCAGCTGCTGACTCCTCAGAACCTAGCCACCATCTACAAGACACATGACAGGAATGTGATGGAATACATCCCACTAAAAGATAGATGAGGGCAGAGTGGTAGACGTTGTCTACATTGACCTTAGCAAGGCCTTTGGCAAGTTTCTGCACGGCAGACTGGTTAGTAAAGTTAGATCATTTAGGATTCAGAGAGAGCTAGCCAATTGGATACACAGTTGGCTTGACGGTAGGGTGGTGGTGGAGATGTGTTTTTCGAATTGAAGGCCTGTGACCAGTGGTGTTTCACATGGATTGGTGCTAGGTCCACTGTTGTTCGTCATTTGTATAAACAATTTGGATGTCAATACAGGAACATGGTTAGTGTGGATGATACCATAATTGGTGATATAGTGGACAGTGGAGAAGGTCATCTTAGCCAATGGCCCAGGGAGTGGCAGATGGAGTGTAATTTAGATAAATACAAGGTGTTGCATTTTGGTATAATGAACAAGGACATGACTTATACAGTTAATGGTAGGGCCCTGAGTAGTGTTGTCGAACAGAGAGATCTCACGGTTCAGGTACATATTTCCTTGAAAGTTGTGTCACAGATAGTCAGGGTGGTTAAGAAAGCATTTAGCAAGCTTCCCTTCATTGTTCAGACCATTGAGCATTGGAGTTTGGACATCATGTTGAAGTTGTACAGCATGTTGGTGAGGCCACTTTTGGAGTACTGTGTACAGGTCTGGTCACCCTCCTATAGGAAGTATATTAAATTGAAAAGTGTGCAAAAAAGATTTACATGGATGTTGCCAGGACTGGAGGGTTTGAATTATGAGGAGAGGCTGGATAGGCTGGGACTTTTTTCACTGGAGCATAGGAGGTCGAGAGGTGACCTTATAGAGGTTTATAAAATCATAAGTGGCATAGATAAGGTGAAAGCAAAGGTCTTTTCCCTAGGGTAGGAGAGTTCAAAAATAGAGGGTGTAATTTTAAGGTGAGAGGAGGGGCAACATTTTCATACAGAGGGTGATTTGTATGTGGAATGAACTGCTAGAGGAAGTGGTCGATGCAGTTAAAGTTACAACATTTCAAAAACATTTGGACAGGTACATGAATAGGGAAAGTTTAAAGGGATATGGACCAAACGCAGGCAAATGAGACGACTTTAATTTGAGAAACCTGGTCAGCGTGGACGAGGTAAACCATAAGTTCTGTTTCCATGCTGTATGACTCTATAACTCTATGACTTGAAGTGTAGCTCCAACAACTCAAGACATTCAATACTAACCAGGGCAATGCAGCCTACTTGATCAACACACCCTGTCATGGAGAGTAAATATCCTCCAAGGCACAGAACCAGCAGTGTGTCCCTTCTACAAGATACTGCAACTCACCAAAGTTCCTTAGACTATCCCTTCTAAATCTACAACACCTAGGACAGCAGACACACAGGAACATCAGCATCTGCAAGTTCTTTTTCAAGTCACGCACCATCCTCACATGGAACTATATTACTATTCCTTTACTGTTACTGATTCAAAGTTCTCAAATTCCCTCCCCATTGATGCCATGGCTTTATCTGTAATTTACCATCATCTTGCCAAGGATAATTAAGTATGAAGAACAATTATTTTTATTGTTCATTCATGAGACGTGGGCATCACTGAATGGACCACTGTTTGTTGCCGATCCCTAGTTGCCTTTGAGAAGGTGATGGTGGACTGCATTCTTGAACTGCTGCAGTCCATTTGGCATAGGTCCAACCACAATGCTGTTAGTAAGGATATCCTACAGAGATATCCTGGAACACAGATGACTGATTTCCAACAGGTTAAACCATCTTCCTTTGTCCTAAGTATGACTCAAACTGGCGGAGGAAATTCCTCCTAATTCCCGTTGATTTTAGGTTTGCCTGGGATTCTTGATGAAAGACTCGAGCAAATGCTGCCTGCATGTCAAAGGCAGTCACTCTCGCTTCACTTCTGGAATTCAGCTCGTTTTCTCCATGCTTGAGCTAAACAAGCTGGAATGAGGTCAGGAGATGAGTGGCCCTGGTGCAACCGGTGAGCAGGTTATTTGCTGAGTAGGTGCTGCTGATAGTGACACTTCCCATCAATTTACTGATGATCGAGAGGAGACTGATGGGGCAGCAATTGGCCAGGTTGGATTTGTCCTGCTTTTTGTGTACAGGACATTTCTAGGCAATTTTTCACAATGTTAGGTGGATGCCAGTGTTGTAACTGTACTGTAACAGCTTGGCTAGGGAAGTGGCAAGTTCTGGAGCAAAAGTCTTCAGTGCAATTGCTGGAATGTTGTCAGGCCTCATAGCCTTTATACTATCCATCAACTCCAACTGTTCCTTGATATCATGTGGAGCGCGTTGAATTGGCTGATGACTGGCATCTGTGACACTGGGGAGCACAGGAGGAGGCTGAGATGGATCATCCACTTAGCAATTCTGGCTGAAGATCACTGTGAATGCTTTAGTCTTACCTTTTGCACTGATACACAGGCCTCCCCCATTATTGTGGATGGGGATATTTGCAGAGCCTCCCATCCAGTAAGTTGTCTAATTATTCATCACCATTAACAACTAGATGTGGCAGCACTGCAGAGTTCATATCTGATCCATTATTTGTGGAATTTCTTGGCTCTGTCCATCACTTGCTATTTATGCTGCTGGCATGGAAGTAATCCTTTGTTGTAGCTTCACCAGGTTGACTTAATGCTCCTCCTGGCAAGCCCTTCTGCACTTTTTCATTGAACAAGGACTAACCCCCGGCTTAATGGTAACAGTAGATTACCATTAATGCTGGCCATTACAGAGACACCCACATCTTGTGAAAGCATATTTTCAAAAGAATTGCAGAAATTTTCTTTAAATTCAAAAATAATTCCTGTGAACGCAGAAGGAATGCTTTCCGGATTTCAGAGCAGTTATGAATGAAACCCCTCCCTTCTTTCTTGCTGTTCCATCTCGCCTCCCAGAAAGGAACTTCAGCCAAGCAATGCGATATTCATCATGTTTAAAAAGGTTGAGCAGTCTGTGGAGACTTGACAGATGATGGCAGCTGGCCCAAGTCATGTTTCTGAATGCTGAGGCCCAGCTTTAGACCAGCTTTGATTTTCCTACTTCAGGGTTTGCCTCTTTACCAGGGTGTCCCAAAGTGGACGAGGAACCCAAGTGGAGTCACAAATTTCAATATTGTAGTCGCAAATCAGCAATGGCTGCCGCAAGAGCTTCACTGTCTGCCCCGTTCTTACTGTTTTTTATTATTTCCCATCCCATGTTATCATAGGCCTTCCTCTCACCCCCTTTGCTCTGCTAGTTCTCACCAAAGGACTGTGACAATTTTCAAACTTTAAATGGAATCGCAGTGGAAAAGTTCAGTGGGTGCTATTGCAGGAATGACTAGTCACCCTGAATTTCAGGACAGTGGGGATATGGGCTTAAATCCTACCATGGAAAATGATGAAATGTGAATTCAATTAAAAATCTGGTGATCACTGTCAATTGTCTCGAAAACACTTCTGGTTCACTAATGACCTTTAGGGGAAGAAATCTGCTGTCTCGTTCGGTGCATTCCGTATTTTACAAGGATGCTTCCAAGAATGAGATGCATCAGTTATGAGGAGAGATTGAAGAATTTGGGACTGTCCTCCTTTGAGAGAAGAAGACAAAAAGGAGACAGCAAGAACTGCAGATGCTGAAGTCAGAGACAACACATTGTGGGAACTGGAGGAACACAGCAGGCCAGGCAGCATCAGAGGAGCAGGAAAGTTGATGTTTTGGGTCAGGACCCTTCTTCAGAAATGGTGGTAGGGGGGTGGGGGTGGGAAGGCAGCTGGGAAATAAATAGAGAGGAAGGGTGGGGCTGGAAAAGGTAGTTGGGATGGTGATAGGTGGATGCAGGTAAGGAGTGGTGGGATTGGTCAGTGAGATGGGTGGGGCGGATAGGTGGGAGAGAAGATGGAGAGGCTGTGGCAGATCAAGGAGGCAAGAGGGAGGATTGATGGGGTTGGGGAAAGGTAGGTGGGATGGTACTAGGTTGGATGCAGCTAGGGGGTAGTGGGGATTGGTCGGCAGGGAGGGTAGAGCGGATAGGT